GTGTCGAACCTTTCTCTCGATACAAGTTTCTATGACCCTGAGAAAATACCAAACACTAAAGACGATGAAGTTCACGAAGTTTTTCTCAACTTTGGCTTCCCAAAAGGCGCTGCGGTCAACAGCCGACGTCTGGTTGTACCACGTGCCCCATTGGTTCAAAGTCCGTCTACGTGGGGTCTCACGCCTTGTTCACGTGCGTGTGATGAAGAAGTGTGCGCCTGTACGAACGTGGTGGATTTACCCGCTAAGAAAACGATTCAAGTTGTTTTGATGGCTTACAGTGGTGCAAAGCTTGGTCACCCTGTACACATCCATGGTCACAGCTTCCAGGTAGGTTGGGCTTCCTGTGTTATGCATTGCTAGTTGAAAGTCAATGTAGTGTCCAGCAATGAAAGCACAGGATATTACACTGACCAATTAGAGATTGAGTAGATTGAGTGCAACATCACTTAACTTATAAAAAGTCGCTGACCTAGCAAATCTGATTGCTCTAGGTACTCAAAATAGGCTTTCCCATCCAAAACCAAACTTCAGGAAAAATTCTTCAAGCCAATCCCGACATAACTTGCGACAACAAACACTGCAGTCTCAGCCACTGGTCAGCGGGTGCACCAAAGGATCTCAAATTTGAGGACCCGCCGCTTAAAGACACCGTGATCGTTCCATCGTATGGTTATGTTGTGGTACGCTTTATTAGCGATAATCCAGGTAATTGAAGAAAGTCCTTACTGGAAAAGCTTGTCCATGATGCTAACTGCATTGTTTATTTATTCCCTGTTACCTAGGTTACTGGCTCGCGCATTGTCACGTGGGAAATCACTTAGCTGAAGGAATGGGGATGATCTTTAACGAGTCATTCCCCCATCAGCCTCCTGCACCCCCCGGATTTCCAACATGCCAGGAATTCAGCCAGGATCACAGCAGTTTCAGTGTTTATTTAAAGAAAAATAAGGAATGTTTGGATGACAGTAAGGACTGTGCACATATTGGTACAGGGGGGAGCAGTAAAGAGAACAAAGACTGCCAGGTAAGAGACAACTGTAACCCCTGATTTAAAGCTGACTTTTGGATAGATGCATCAGAACGCTTGGGTTATTCCGGTATTCCAAGCTTATTGTGATCGTAGCATCTCACCAGGTTAATCATAGCTCGTGGTGAAGGATTGTTGCGACCCCGATGTCCGTTCACTGTGATCGTTCTTGATTCTGCGTTTAACTAGTTGATTCTCGTCAGCTCAGCAACCTGATCACGTGATTTTGTGTTTCAGGACACGTGGATTTATCTGGTGATCACGTGCTGTGCGTTGATTTGTGCTTTGTTGGCTTTGGTCGTCAATATCTTGCTGTGGCGTGCCTTAAAGGGTAATTGTGTGCAGGAAAGAACCATTTTTAACGAAGGCATGGGAATGAAAAGTCTTATCAAGGAAACATAATCGAGGGATCTTCACAGACTGCTAAAGTCTATTAATGATGTTTTTTCTATTTTTGTGAGTTCACTGTTGTCATCAAGTGTATATGATTATTTATTGATGATGAATCGTTATTTAATCATTTTCTTTTTAGCATGTAATTGTATTAAGGACATTTTTTATGAGTATTGATTATTAAATACGAGACAGTTGATTCTACAAAAATTAATCCCATAATTTTATCCATCCTTTTTGACTGAAGCGAGATTGATCGTACGGTGGTTGACTCGGATGCACTGGGCTTTACACTTCCTCCTTACTGCAGGCTTAGAGTGACTTGCCGGATAAAACTGTTCATAAAATCATGATCTCTTCGTCCAATCAGGAATGTCTATTTAGTCGTGTGATCAGTTGACCTTGTAAATGTGATACAATACGTTTTTCACCTTTGAGAAACCATTAGCCTTGATATTCTATCGTAGACCTCTCAATGAAGAGTACAAAGAAAGACATCACTGACTTTTATTAAACAGATCATGGCTTGTTTTTCATGTAGGAGAGATAATTATTCTACATGTGCTGAATTGCAGTAAATTGCGCATGCTCATTGGAGACTGAATTCAAAATATAACTTATTTGTCATTTTTCGTCATTTATTTCACTGTAATTTGTATTTATTAGTGTATTATTGATTAAGTCGTCTACAACACTCGCCAGCGGCTAGAGATTATACCCACACAACACGGTCTCTCAAAGTTGTAAACTTTACTTCCCTGCAAGACAGCCCTTGGATGGTTATTGATATTYATTAATTTTTCACCCTGCAAGCTGAAAATTACTTGCATTTCTGAACGCACGCGTCTAKAGGGCGGATGCATAGTATCACGGACTTGCTATAGACCGCCCTATATAGCTTTGCATGGTCCGGGCCGAGCMATTACAATCGAATATACCAATATGATCGCGTGTGACAAGTTTTCTTTCCTGTCAATATTATTGATTTTATTTATATTCGGAGTTTATCCAGGCACAGGTGAGATATGCACCAAGTCGATTTGTGAATATGAGTTTGATATTCGTGAAACACGAAGCATGCTGTACAGACTTGATGTTGATCACGCCTATCAAGTAAGAGTCGACGATGATGGTGTGTTAAAACTACAAGAAACCTCCTTTCACAGGTACAGCAATTACTGGTTATATTATTGTATATATATTAGGTTATATTATCTATCACACATTATTCTCGCTATCTTTGACTGATTGACCGATATACAGCGTGCAAGCTAGTCAGTTCAAYAATRAGGTCGCCTTCGTGCGCAAGTGATAATTTCGTTTATATACTATATTGTTCATTTATTTTATTAAAGCAAAAAATCATTAGATTTCTTTGCTTTGGATTTTTGCTTCATAGATTGCGAAAGAGCAGTTAAGCAAG